GAAACGGAGCAAAAACGAGCATATGTCTATAGGACTTTTTTTCTTAGTTTTTTACTCCTCTACACGCTCCCGAAGTTTTGCCATTTAATTTGGAAACACCCTGTATATATCAGATATTTCATAGTATGTTACAATAAGCGATTATTAGTTTGTAATAACTCTTTGTCGCACGAAATTCGCGAAATGTACACAATATTTTTAACAAAAGATTGACGCATTGTGGCTTTTTGTTACTTTTGAATCAGTTTTTTCTGTCATTTGCGTCTTATTCCGCATTCTTAAGCTAGGAAAATTCTTAAGCTAAGGGCATAAGTCAACAATGAAATCTTATTAATTTTATAATTTTAAGAAACTGAAATTTACCTGTAAAGAAGTGTAAGATACAGATTTAGAGAAATTATGTATAAAAGTTTGTATTCTGCCGCAAAAATTGTTCGTGTTATATAAAATTGTAGATATAAATTATGTATCTAATTTTTATATTCTGCAGGATTAAATGAAATCAAAATGCGTATAGTAACACAAATTTTCTAGAATTAATTTATTAGATATTTTTACAATTTTTTGTTATATTCTTAAGAAAGGATGGGATGTTAAAAAAGCCCGATTTTTGCCCACAAAGCTAAATAAAAGGAATAGTGTTTTTTATACTTTGGCCTCCTGAATACGATAATATTAATAAAAATTTCGGGATCGATAGGAAACACCTTGTAAATTGAGCATGAACATGACATATTTAAAAAAATTTCAATATTCTTGTATACTTTTCAAGGTGTTCCCCAAATGTTACGAACTTTTTTTAATAATTTTATCATATTGAGGAGATCAAAATCTTCAAAAAAACACTATTTCTTTTACTTACATTCTTTTGAGCAAAAATTGAATCCTTTTTATCCTCTAAAGAAGGACAGATTTTTACTCAAGAAGACGTAAGTAAAAGAAATAATGTTTTTTTTGTAGATTTCGACCTTCTAAGCCTTTGTAGGCAAAAATCGGCCTCTTTTTAACATCTTTCTTTAACTTTTAATATCAAAAAGTCATCATTGATATATCTAGTATAAGAATTGTAAATATCATGTTATTATAAACATTTCGAAATATTTCATGTAATTTTGCTTTAATTTAAGAATTTCAATATTAGAATCGTGTATTGCACTTTAATCATATTTTTTATTATAATTACATATTATACATGTATAATATACCGTTGCATTTACGTATATTCTATTATATGTATATAATTATGTATTTACATATCATATTTATGGGATAGGAATATTTTTGTTATATTTCTAAAATAAAATTGTACGAGTAATTTTAACTGTAATAACGACATATATTCATAAATAAATTCAAGACACACAATAAATTCATACAGATATCTGTCCTATTTGACATTGTTTACCAGTTACAAACGTTTCCGCATATCATTACGAACTAAACTAACGTCCGATATGTCCAGAGAAAGTGTTTACTGGTAGTCAGTAAGAAGACGCGTGAAAGTGAGGACGTGTGATGACATTACGCTGACTAAAATTGTAACGAGAATTAGTGAAACACATACGCTTGTGGAAACGTTTATAACTCGGAAATAAGGTTAAATAATACATATGTTTACATGAAAATTTTGAATTATTTATACGTCCTAAATTTATTTATGATGTTATGCTCATCCAGAACATTATAAAATATTCGGTGTAAAAAATAAAATTTATATGTACATATATAAAAAAATTCAAGTTAAAAACGTTCTTCCTTATTTGCTAATCAATTTTATGACAAATAACCTTCACTCAAATTTTTCTTTAATAATATGTGCAAAATTTATAATATTTTATATATTAATGTACATATGCTGACATTTTCAAAAATGTGATTTTTTCCACAACGATATTTCTGTGTGTAGTATTGCATTGTTGCATATTTAATAAGTATACTAGAAAAAAATTGTAGTACACTCTATCATCGAATATCTAACCATTACCATTTTGACGATCTTTAGACAGCGTCTCTCTCTCTCTCTCTCTCTCTCTCTCTCTCTCTCTCTCTCTCTCCCTCCCTGTAGTTTCCTACAGACAGTGTTTTAATAAGTACTCTATATCTTTAGACGAGGGATAATTAGGCGTAATTCGACACGACCGATGAGTGAAAATGGAACCGGCAAGAGTGTAAGTCTCTGACAAAAATTTATAACATGCGAAAACTATTGAAATGTAGGTGCGATAAACACTTAAAATGAAATTTCGTTAATAATATTCGTTGAAAGAAGAGATCCAAAATCTTCTTTTAACAAAAAATATTTTATTGTTCTTTATTTATTTATATTATTGTCTAATATAAAACAAAAAAAATTTTTACAAAATATTATCTATATCTTTTTCATTAAAGATAACGTTAAAATGTTTCCTAATTTAATATGTTTAGATCCAGCAACAAGATAAATTTTAAAATTAATGGAGTACCATATTCGGGTATGTATTCTTTGTATGAAATGTGTAATTAAGGAAATTAAAAATTTTGTATTATATCATAAAAAGGTGAAATAACACAGATTATGATATAAAGAAGCCCCAGGTTCAAATATATTTAAAAAATATATCAGAAGCTATGACAATTATTTATTATACAGTGAAAATCCATAACGTTCAGTAGAAGAATTAATCATATAAACCTCATTATACAGAAATTATAAAACTTGATGATGGAACTGTGATTGAGAGCTTTAGAAATAAAAAATAATAATGTGTATGTTAAATGAGAACTTTGTCAGTCAATTTTAAAATTGTAAAATTGCTTCTAGTATCCGATGATAGTATACCCGTGGACACGACCCTCCTTGTCTTCATCCGCGAATATGCAAAATTTCGAGGTACAAAAGCGATGTGTTATGAAGGCGAATGCGGTGCCTGTATCGTCAGTGTAACATTCAAAGACAAAACAATAAGTGTAAATTCCTGTCTTGTACCGATACTGATCTGTGACGGGTATGTATGTATTAAAGAGAAACTAAACAATCAAACTTAATTTCTAATTGAAATCTTAATAATTTATGTAATGACATTATACACACCAGTGTCGTCTTCGACACAAGAAATTAGTCATCAAAATCTCCTTCTTATCTTACGTATTTATGTAGAAAGAATGAGAGCATGAGTAAGTTAATAGAGATTGATTAATATATAAAATATTTATATCTTACGTGTAAAAGAACGGAAAAGTGTGTAACAATAAGTGCCATGGTGAGACAAATATTATACTTATTTATTAGGAAGACATCATAATTTCTTTAATTATTTTCAAATATCATTATTTTTATTATTAGCTTTATCGTTATTATTATAATATTATCATTTAAATATGAATATAAAGTGTATTATTACTAATAATAAGAATTTAACAAAAAATCATGAAATCAACCGGAAAACACAATAAAAATGTAAAAAAAATGCATCAAATATATTTTCAATATCTTTACATGAAAACATTTTCTAAATACATGAAAATAATTATCTGGGAATTACATATCTGGGAATTCCCAGATAATACATATGTCTATAAAATACGTATAATAAATCAAACTAACAAAGACTCCTTATAAATAAAAAAAAATAGGAAAGAACATGGGCAATAGGAGTCAAGCATCGAAGACGTCGCGCAAATAATACATCCATAAAACGTAAAACGTTTAAACTTCTACTAAACTCGCTTACACATTTCGGCTCACTTTTGAGCCTTCTTCAGAGACAACACAAACTAACATTTATAAAATGTGAATAAAAGTTATCTTGTCATGGTGAGCTCCCCTACATCGAGAATACATATAATAGTGTTGGTGGTAAATGTAGGACTGACTAGTTATAAGATAACAGGTGATACAAGATAACATTTAAGCTCAAATCATCTGATTTTAATAATTCTTACAATAATAAAACGTTTCCAATTATTTACAAATTGAAATTAGGCCGAAAACTGGCCTTATGGAGACTCCTATGCAACATCATCGCTTCGTTTAAACTAAAATCACTTTAATTGAATATAATTGACCTCAAGAAATAGATTTTTATGTGTTTGAATAAAATTTGGAGAGTGCCGAAATCGGCCCTTATGGAGACTCTCCTTCTTTGGATTTTTTTTATTATTTCTTAATTTCTGACAACAAGTATACAGAGTCATATGTCAATATTAATATTTCATATCATATAATATCGCAGATGGAATATTAACACGATTGAAGGTATAGGTAATAAGCGAGACGGATATCATATAATTCAAGCTGCGCTTGCTCAAAAAAATGGCTCGCAATGTGGATATTGCTCTCCTGGCATGGTGATGAATATGTACAGGTAAGAATTATTAAAATTTCTAATTAATTGTTAACGTTAAAGCAATATTATGTTTTGAACATATTACTTTTCTTTCTTTATGATAAAATTCATTCGGAATTGTTTTGAGCGCTGCAGGAAAGTTGCATACAAAAAAGTAACATTAAGAAAAATTGATATACGTATAAATATTAATAAATGAATCTCTATAATTAATAATTGTCCAATAATAAACAAACAAGTCATAAATTTATATCACAAATAAAATCGTAGAATACTGCTACATCTAGTTCAAGTAAAAATAATATTTAAGTATAACTAAACGTTTGTAAAGTAAGAATAATAATAAGAACTCTGCGTTAATTCATTTCTTGTTTACATTTCGCAGTCTCATGACTGGTAATTCGAGTTTGTCTATGCAGCAAATCGAAAATTCATTTGGTGGTAACTTTTGCCGATGTACTGGATATCGTGCAATTTTGAATGCGTTCAGGGGATTTGCCACCGATGCATCTCCATCAATGGTGAAAGACATTGAGGTGCTTGTGTGAAAATTTTCATTTCGATTTCAAAATTTAATCTTTATTAAAATTACATTTTCAATTTAATTTTATACTCAGAGGAAACATTTTGTTATTACTTTGTTTCTGATTCTGTTATTACAGTAATTAGGATTATTTAATTGTTACAACTCTTTTTATATCATTTTCATTCTGTAAATATAATAAGTAAAATATGTTTCACAGGAGTTATACAAAATCGAAGCTTGCCAGAAATACGAAATGCCATGTGTACGTAGTTGCTACGATAAGCAACTTTGTGATAAAAACACAATGTTGAGTATAAAGTTACAAGACGCACACTTCTACAAAGTTTTCACGATCAAGGATATATTTACGATATTTGAGAAAAACCCAAATGCAACGTATATATTAAATGGAGGAAATACTGCACACGGTAATTTGTCTGTATTAGATGGTATAGACAGTAAACAAATATATAGTATATATAGGATATTGCTCGCGCTAATTATATAAAAAATTGTGTCCCGGTAAAAAATGAGTTGGTGTTCATACATGTATGTCGTAGTTCGTAAGGTGAACAGATGTTATAGACACAAGATTCAATAATGAATAGTTATTGATCTGTATAAATATATCAATGAAGCAAAATTTATGAGCTGAGCATCTTTCATATATGATAGCACAAGAGACATTGATTTTTTGTTCTCCACATTATAAGCTATGATACATGTGAAAACCAACTCATTTCACCAGTACTCAATTTATTATACGCATAATGAGTATGACATCCTTTATACAAAATATTTACAGCAATTATTACTCTTTACCTACTTTAATAGACACATCAAAATTGTTCCAAGCATCTGAATAACATTATACTGTTAGCATGTACACATGCATTATAGAGCGTTATTAATATTGAATTTGTATCTTATTTATAAGTTCGGATAAATACTTTCTTATGCAAATAATACTGCATTATGAAGAAGCAATACACTCTCATAAACTGAAAAGTACCTACAGTTCCATTATTTAGTTAAATAATCTATCTACGTAAATATTTTATGTTAATCAATTATCCTTCTATAATTAAACGTGCTGCGTTAAAATATGGTTTTGTTAATAATTCTCAGAAAATCAAAATAATTTTTTATGACACTAAGATTTTAAAAATCCAAAAGGTTCGATAATTTCAATTATTCTACAATGTTGCATTTGGCATTATTATTAAGCCTCACATTAATCTGAATATATAAGTAAGTTCCTCGATATAGATACTTAACATTGTGGAAAATTAATTTTACAGGTGTCTATCGTTCGAGCAAAAAAGACATATACATTGATGTAAACAGCGTTCCAGACTTGCATAAAATTTCAAAATCAGATTTTGGTTTGGTCCTAGGAGGAAACGTAACCATTACTACGGCGCTACAGACGTTCCAGAAATATTCAAATGATACCGGATTTAAATATCTAAGTCACTTGGCCGAGTATGTAGAAATGATTGCAAACGTTTCCGTGCGAAATATTGGCACCATAGCTGGGAATTTAATGCTGAAATACCAACACAAAGAGTTTCCAGCCGATTTGTTTTTGATACTAGAGGCTGCCGGTGCTAAAGTAGTTATTGAGAAAAGTCTTAACGACACGCAAAATTATTTCTTGTATGAATTTCTGAAGTTCAATATGCATCATAAAATTATCAATAGCATTTTGTTAGATCCGATACGTGATAACGAGTATATATACAAATTCTACAAGATCATGCCTAGAGCACAAAACGCTCGCGATCACATCAACGCCGGCTTTCTCTTCAAACTCGACGGTGACGGCAAGGTAACGATATCTTTACGAATTGTTTATATTACATAATTGGCTCGTAGCCCTTCTTTTATTTAGTAATGTTTATATTACTTTATCATTAATTATTCACTCATATTTCAATTTTCTTCAAGTTTTATTTGTTTACATTTATTATATTTTTCAAAAAGGTGTTGGAGTTACCTAACATCATCTTCGGTGGCATCGACAGGTTTTTTTTACACGCAAAACATACAGAGGAAATATTGGTGGGTAAATCTGTCTTCGACAAGAAAACACAGAAGTTAATTATGCAAATGTTGCAAGTCGATCTACAACCAGATCATGAGCTCCCGAATTACTCGCCGAAATTTCGCAAGACTCTCGCCGAAGGATTATTTTACAAGTTTTTGTTAAGCATCAAACCGGAGAATGTACATCCTAATTATCGTAGCGGAGGCACCTTATTAGAACGAGGTCTTTCTTCAGGTGCATATAGTGAAGTATCCAGAATGTTTTTGTAGACATTATAAATACTTACAATAAATCTTCGCGGTTCATGTATCTAAATAATAATATTTTTATAAGGCGATAAGCGATAACGAATTCGCAAGCAATTGGAATATATTTACGAACGGATAACTGCAAACGTTCCCATTCGTAATTTGAGACTTTTTCAGTATGGGAGTCGTGTACAAACTACCTGTAGAAGAGAATTCAAATCCAGAGTGGATATGTTTGCAGTTAACATCATTAGAAAGTACATTCCAATCGTTTTCGAATCCTTATATCCTCTTATATATGTATATTACAATTCAATACTTATTGTATAAGAAGCATGGAAGCTCATATGGGTATTTTACTTATAGATTTAATTTATTTTTGGTGGCACATACAAAGCCTTCCTATTTTGATTTAAAAAAATTTGCTTAATGATCTCGATTTTAATATTAGAAAAACAATGAAATATCACCGCTTAATATTGATTTATATACAAAGAGCTCGTAATGCATTACAATTGATTGTTCGAAATTATGCATACAAAAAAATCCAATTTTCTTAGGTAAGCAAGAATGCTACGACACGAATAAGAGCATTTTACGAAATAGTGTTTCAGATAAAAGTTGTAGGGTTTCAAAAAATCTATTTACTGGCGAAATGAGTTTGACCTTGGGTGGCATCGTCAAGGCTAGGTCAAGGTCACGTTGATTTTTTTAAACGGAATCCCCTATTTTTCATTACATTTTCTTATAGCTTACCTCGAGAGCTTTTTAAAACTATTTAAAACTAACACACACTATAATAAAATATGTTTTGCTAATTAACTTGCTTAATGATCTTGATGATTTTGATATTAAAGAAATACTGAAATATTTAATATTTTAGCCGTTTAATATTGATTTATGTATAAAAAGCTCGTAATGTTTTTGACTGATTGTTCGAAATTATATATATAAAAAACACAATTTTCTTAGGTAAGCAAGAATACGACACAAATAAGGACATATGGCCAATGAGTAAGCCTATGCCAAAGTTAGAATCTTTAGACCAGACATCGGGCGAAGCCCAATATTGCAATGATCTGGGTCCATATCTTAGAGAAGTGTTTTGTACTTTCGTTCTCACCGAAATCGGTAATGGCAAGATTGATAGTATAGATGCAAGCAACGCGCTTAAAATAAAGGGTGTAGTAGCGTTCCTCAGTGCCAAAGACATACCCGGACAAAATCTGTGCATTTCGGCCGCTAGCAAGTTGATGTTCTTGCCAGAGGATGAGTTGCTGTTCGCCGAAGAGGATGTTTTGTATGCCGGCCAACCAGTTGGAGTAATTGTCGCGGAGACGCATGATTTGGCGATTGAGGCTGCAAAATTGGTGGAAATTAAATATATCGAACCTCTGAAAACGAAGCCGGTGATAAGTATTGAGGACGCTCTAAATTCGAAGGACAATACTAGAATCAGACAAAGCGCTAATATTCCAGCAAAGAGGAAAGGTAGAAATTGATAAAGAACGAATTTAATAACATTTCATTAAATTGTTTTCCTTTTGATTATAATTATTAGAAAAAAAATAGCAGTAAATGTATGTTCCAATTTTTTGGGAAAAAAATGGAATAAGCTACATTTGCAAACTTGTGAAACAGTACAAGTACTGATATTAATTATTAGAAATGGTAATTATTCAGTTTAGGTAAGTCACCTTTAATGAAACCTTGATCTTGACATACGTTATCGAGAGCATTCTGCTGAGATGACTTCAGAAGTTTCATTCGTTATTCGTTAAAAGTTATTTGTCGTGAAAAAATAAAGATTAGACAGAGAATAAATATTGTTTTTATATAGTCACAGTTTCAACCCAGGTAGGAAATATCGAAATCATAATAGAAATGAGATAGCATAAGGTTAAGAACATTTTACAATCATTATTTTACAATCTTTATTTTACTAAACGCGTTTACATGTTTCGGCATTTTTTAGCATTCTTCAGAGACAACATAAATAATACACATATATAAAATATAACAAATATTAACTTGTCATGGTGAGCTCCCCCGTATCGAGAATATAAATGCCAGAATTAAACCCAGATAAGAATGACATAAAGAAAAACGAAACATTAATTTTTCATTTTCTCTATTTCGAGATTTCCAAAATTTCTTTTCGTTTTTCTTTTCGTTGTCTCTGAAGAAGGCTCAAAAATGAGTCGAAACATGTAAGCGCGTTTAGTAAAATAAAGAAGTTTTACGCTTTATATATAGTCGTATTATTTGCGCAACGTCTTCCGCGCTTGACTCCTATTGCTCATGTTCTTTCTTAGTCCTTTCCATTTTTTATTGTTTTACAGGAACCGATATTAAACATGTGATAAAGGGTGTTTTCCAGTGCAATGGTCAATATCACCATACCCTTGAGACTCAATCCTGCATATGCGTTCCTGAGGGTGGTATTATAGACGTCTATCCCTCGTCACAATGGATGGATCTCATTCAAGTATCGATCGCTAATTGTCTTAATGTTAAAAATAATAGGTAACTCATTAATCTATCAAGTCAATCTCTGTTGTGTCAAAAGTAATTATATTATTCGAATTGGAATAATGTAATTTACATTGTAAATAGCATTAAAAATTACAACAATTATATAGTAAGATATTTTTGAAATCCACTATTAATGGTGTTTGTTAGTCACAAATGTAAGTAAAGTTAAAAATAAAATGTTTACGAATTAAAAAATACAAATATTACGTGTGATATTACCATCAAAAAAAGTACACTATATATATTATAAAAATTAAAACACTTAAGTAAAATTATAAAATACTATTGTTATCATAATTTTCCAGCATTTTGAAACAAATACTATTGTATTATAATTTTCGTTCGAATATAATGACATATTTATACAATTGAAGGTAAAAGTATTAGTTACTGTAAAACGAAATAATTATTATTTCAGTTACAAATTGTGTAATTTTTGCACAAATTATAAATGATGTAATTTTATATGATTTAACAAAGTGTTTGAGTCATATTATTATACATAACCATCTTTTCCAAACAAAAGCATTGAGCTATTGTGATCTACTATTCAGTAACGTCTCTTTTGTCAATATCATGATTAATCAAATTATGAAGTCGTAAAGAGTTAGGAAAAGATTACTTCAACTAAAAATTGAAATTATAGATATAATATAAAATAAGGAGTAAATTATTTTTTTCTATATAATGATATTACTTAAATGAGCAATAATACGTAAATCATAATAATATTAATAATATGCATTTTGCCAAATAAACTCAGCATTAATCATGTGAATGTAATTTTTCCAGCATTAATGTGCATGTCAGTCGACTTGGCGGTTCGTATGGATCGAAAATCTCACGCAATGCACAAATTTCATGTGCTTGCGCATTGGTATGTCATACACTGAACCGTCCAGCGCGATTCATCATGACAATAGAGAGTAATATGCAATCGATAGGCAAGAGATGTTCTATGCGTCAAGAATATGAGATCGGAATAAACAATGACGGAGTTATACAGTATCTCAACTCAAATCATTGGAGCAATTGCGGATCTAGTTTCAATGAATCACAAGTTGCTATGACAGCTTCCTACATGGAAGGGTATCAAAACATAACATGTAGTATAAGCAAAAATTTAAACAATTTATAATAATAATATGTAATATTAAGGCACTTCTCTAATATTAAAACTTGTCTATTGAACTTTCTGTGCACAATATTTTAAAATTGAATGGCAAACTTTTAGCAGAGAATGATATTATAATAAATTAACCTCTTTTTATTTCATTTTGAATAGAATTTTGAAACATATTTCCAAAAAAGGAAAAAATACACTCGTCAACAAAATTATCGCATAGATAAATTTATATCATAAATTCAAATAAATGTAATTTCGCGAAAAATGGTCGCATTTAAAAGTTTTTTCATTTTCGAGGGTAAAATCTATATTTTACGAAGCTTTCAATGGATATTGAATCTATCCTTACCCTTACCTGACATCTTTTCAAAACAAAAAAAATATATATATATATATACACTAGGAAAAAAAATTTAGTGCCTTCAACAGAATTATTTAGTTGAAGCATTTTTGAACAGCAACCAAATATTTTGTTTATATAACAAAAAATTTAGTTATAGAAATTATTTTTGCAAAATAATTTCTATAACAAAAATATTTGTTTATACCATCTGAATAATTTAGTTCGCATAAAATTACAGTTTTGTTCGATACATTTTAACCAAAGCAATTTTGTTCAGTATATTTAAATCAAATTTTGTTACATTTTGGTTCATAGAACAAAACATTTTTCCTGTAAGGACGTTTCCTGTAAGGAGCAGCAAAATATTTTTTTACGTGTAAGAGAAAAATCCATATTTTATGATAGTTATAATGATATTTACGAAAAAAGTTTACTGCACCCCGTAGAGTGCACCAAACTATGCAAATTTCTTAAAAGAAAAACACGTCCTTATTTTTCAAAAGATGCCAGGCAGAGGTAGGGATAGATTCAAAATCCATTGAAAGCTTCGTAAAGTACAGATTTTACCCTTAAAGATGAAAAAAAGCTTTTAATGTGACCATTTTTCGCGAACTTATTTGAATTTATGCGAAATTTTGATATAACTTTACTTATGCGATAATTTTGTTGACGAGTGTATTATAATACTCTCTAATGTTAATCAAAAAATTGCTCTAATTAACTGTGATAAAATAATTTTCTTTAATTAATTAAATTATAATTGAGAACACTCGTGAATATTCTTCCGTTTTTTTTATAAATATACATACAAACAATTTTTTGTCTTTAGATGCTGCTATTCAACCGATACTTGGACGTTGAACGGATTTGATGTAAGAACCGATTTACCGTCAAACACGTTTTGTCGGGCATCAGGAACTGCGGAAGGAGTAGCTATGGTCGAGAATATGATGGAGCACATTGCGAAAGTGATGGAAAAAGATTCGCTAGAAGTCAAAATGGCGAATATGAATGATGAGGATAGACCCGTATTAGAAACCATAATAAAGGATCTGTGGAAGCAGACCGATTACCAACGGAACAAAGAATCCATTGATGATTTCAACTTACAAAATCGCTGGAAGAAAAAGGGATTAGCCACCGTACAAATGAAGTATTTGATAACATATGAAGGACAATTCGATGCGATGGTATCGGTTTGCGCTCGTGACGGTTCGGTATGCGTGACGCACAGTGGAATTGAGATCGATCAAGGTATAAATACAAAGGTATGAAAATGCAATGGTTTATCCAAATAAGTGTTCTTTCATGCTTTTCAACTAACTATTAATAAATTAATGGAAAATTATGTTTGAAAATTTCATTCCTTTGAATTTAAGATTCTATTTTAGAAAATTAGAATGAGAAACTTTGTTTTATTTAAGATTTCTTCTAGATTTTAATATCATTCATTCTTGATACATATTTTCTGTATTTTGAATACAGATTAATTATCTTATAAATGTATTAAAATTGGAAAAAATTCGATTTAGTATGTAAGACAATTTACATTTCTGCCAATTTAAAAATAATTTTCGTACACCAGATTGCTCAAATAGCAGCTCATACACTGGGTATCGATATGGAAATAATCTCCGTTAAACAGAGCAATAATATAATAGCACCTAACGATTCAACGGGACACAGCATTACTACAATAACTTGCGGATATGTAAGAATTTAATTCGTTTCCATCACTGGATGGAAGACAATGTTACATATACATAACGTAACATATATGTATAAATAATATAAAACTTAATGATGACATCATTATTATATTCATTTCAGGCAACGATCCAAGCTTGTAATCGGATTTTGAAGAGACTTGAACCGATAAGAAAAGAAATGGAAAATCCGACATGGAAGGATCTTGTTTTTACAGCATATCAAAATGGCATTGATTTATGTGAACATTATGTGTAAATATCATTAAATCATATTTGATATGTCAGTGAATCTTATGTCACACGATATCATAAAGCAAATACTTTCCAAAAATATTGTACTTTCATTAGGCAGAAACATTTATTTCATCTTTTGCTTAATATAAGTTGTACAATACAAAAACGCAGTTTAAATATTCCATTTGCATTTCTTATAAATAGTATTAAACGTATTTACCATGTGCTTTTGGAAAGATTTCGATAAATAAATAAATTTAAACTTTGAATTTATAAAATGGAAAGAGATTTCTTGATGCTAAATAAATTATTAGTTATTAAATAACACATTCCGTTTATATATATATATATCTTGGCAGGTTGGTGCCTGAAAATACGAAGTCTTCCACCATTTACGGTGGCACTACTGCCGAAGTAGAAATCGATGTGTTAACCGGTCAGCACGTTATCAGAAGGGTTGATTTGATGATTGAAGCTGGTCTAAGCTTAAATCCGGAAATTGACATTGGTCTGATGGAGGGAGCTTTCGTGATGGGAATAGGATACTGGACTTCTGAGGATCTGGTGTATCATCCTTATACAGGAGAATTAATTAATAACAGAACGTGGGTATGTTGTCTTTATCAAATTTCGATACACCAAATATCACCAAAAATTAACTTCGATTCGTCGAGATTATCATAAAAATAATTGAACTATCTAAAGTATTTGACTATTTTCATAGAATTATATGTCACCAGGAGTGAAAGATATTTCTGAAGATTTCCGCATATTCTTACGCAAATCGCCCATCGACTATGTCGATATCTACGATTCAAAACGTAAGATTCAAACCCTTTTATTCAATCCCAAGTGAGAATTCATATTGTAGATCAGTATTGAGTCCTGATGAAGTACCGAACTTGTATCGAAAAAAGAATTTTCTAGTTCATTACCGGACTAGTATTTAAAAAACAATACTGGCCTAAATGTGTGGATCAGTGTTGAATGGTATCACTCATTCAGTACATTATCAGTATATTTTCGGTACTGTGTCTTTACTAAAATTATCTATATAGTGTCAGTTGTCATTACTGAGATGATATAACGCCAGTACATTTTCAGTATTGTGTTTGTATTTAGTACACTAACTCTGTAGTGTAATTGTAATATTAGTCTTGGCCCATTAATATCAACCCAACATTCCTTCGGCATTATATCTGTATTGACATGTAAAAATTGGTACTGGGCCAGTGCTAACCACTAGTAATCAATTAATACTAAAGAATACTGTGCACTATAAAAAGTAAAATCTCGAATATTTTCTATATTTTTACTTAGAATTGAAAAATTTATAGAAATTCTTTTAGAAAAGTTTTCAAATCTATATAAATTTTATCAATTTACAAAAGCGCGTTTTAATAAATCATTTAATATATTAAGAAAAAATAATGAAAAATTTAATAAAAATAAAAAGAGGTTTCGGTAAGATATCGAAATCAGGTACATTAAACGATTGATGTATTGGATTAATCCCGAAAATATGTTTGCAGCAAACGATGAATTACCATTTTGTATGAGTTACGTAATTCCGATAGCGATCCGTAAAGCCTTGAATTCCGCAAGAGCGGATGCAGGAAATACAGAATGGTATCAATTGGGTAAGTTTTAAGCAAAGATACATTCATAACCTCTGACAATTCAACATACAACATAAATTACCTAACGTAGTGATCTAGATTAATTTCTACATTTTTTGCGAGAAGTACTAATTATTTAATTGCCACTGCACTTTAGTTTGGTGCTTATATCTAAAAAACATTTTTTAAATACTTTTACGAAAGTGTGTTAGTCCAAATGAAGTTGCCCCATTTTACGAAAAACAGAAAAACAAAGATTAAGTATCTAAAAAAATAATTTTAACTCATTACAGTTTGATTATTTTTCTATAAAAATGTTTTCCGTTTTTTTTCTGTGCATTTGTTGTATCGTGAAAAAATTTTTTCTGCATCTTATTTGTATCACGGCATGCCAATTTTCGCGAATCACCTGTGAACTGCCGTTTTAACTTTCTCGATAGAGCTTCAATTTGGAGAAAAGATGGAAGTCGCTTGGAGCAGGATCCTTATTACGAAGAACATTACTACAGAGAGTATTTCTAAGGTCCGAAAGATCACTCAGAGCCGCGTTCGGAAACATTATCCGAATATCTCAGTGTATCACTTTATCCTTGCTCAACATTGGGTAAACAAGACGATACACGGAGGAATTCGGGTAACGTTCCCGCATCCCAATGTCGCAAAAGAGAAACTAATTTTTGAATTAATCGTAAACGGTTCGCGAAAACTTTTTTCATAATACAACAAATTCGTATAGAAAAAGATGGTGATTTTTTTTATAAGTAACAAAATTGTAACGGGTAAAAAAAATTTTTGTCGAATTTTTAAATTTGTTTATTTATGTTTCCTAAAGTAAGGAAATTACTTTTGGATTAACCCTCGTATAAATCTATTCTTTCCTCCTTGTTTTTCTTTTAAACCAAATTAATGAAGCCACAATTTATAAGGAAGAGAGTTACCGAATTTTATGGTCTCATATCTTTTTGATCGTTTTTAAAACTATTATATGAATAACAGTTGTTCATATTAATCACGGTATACATTACTCGAATTCGGACCACAAATATTTAAATTTTGTTGTAAAATAATTAAAAATATGTTATTTTATATAATTAAATTCGTAATTCATATTTTCCTCTATATAATTCTTTCTTATAAATTACATATTTTCTTATAAAAAAAATACTATTATTTATATATATATACACACTAAAATAAATTTTAAGATTTACTTTTAAAATGTAATTCGTTATGTTTGCAGATGGTCCGTGTACTACCGAACGTATACTTCTAACTAGTTTAACCAACAAAAATGATATGGTGTTTTCAAAGTGAAAGTTATAAAAACATTCTTAAATAATTCTGTATTTAAAATAAGTTTTATATTTAGTTAGTTATCATTTCATTGTTATCTAAATATAATAAATAAAAAAATTTTGTAAAATGAAGAATATAATTTATGCATTCATAATATATTTTTTCATAAGAAACTTTCATGGTAATGATGATTTCGACTAGTTAATAGATCTTAAAAATTGCTAATCCATATCTTCTCGTCCATATTAATTTCAATAAATTTTCTCCATTAAGTTTTTTTAAGCTTAATTAATACTACCATATATAAATTATGCGTTTAAATGCGCTAAGTCAGTGAGTTCTATGCTAGACTTTCAATGATCATCAGAAGATTTAATTTGTCGTACTAAAAGATAAGATACATTTATAAAGATACGACAAAGTTTTAAAAATTCAATTCGTTATAGATAACTTTGGAGCTCCTGATTGGCAGTATTATAGCAGATTTTTATCAATTTTATGTTATACATTTTATTGGTATATTATGAGAAGGTATTATATTACATATCGCTTTAAGGTAGTAACTAATAATGTACTCATTCCTTTTTGCTCTTTAAGTTAATAATTATGATATTTATGTTTTTAAAGATTATAAATATTTTGTCATTAAAAGTGTGAAACGTTTGAAAATTTTATGTTAATTAATTAAGTGTTGCCCAGTTCCTTGTACATAAAGTTTATCAACAGCAACGTTATATCACTCAATACCAATAGTATTAAGGTTAATGCGGTACATATTGAATACATATCTCGTGCATAATAAGAAGTTGCCTATGCAGCAAATCGAAGATTCGTTGGATGCAAAATTTGACAATGTACAGGATGTCATGCATTTCTCAATATGTTTAAGGTATTTGCCACGGATGCGCCCCAATTATCGGCAAAGAATATTCGCAATATTTGCGTTTACTATCTAGTTTCATTTGATTAATATTTGCAGTTTTTTTCAATAAGTGCAAATCGTTTAATTGTTATTGTATGTTACTATATATTACAATGCCCTCACTATATGCAAGCTTGTTTTAATCCTATTACAGTTTTTTTATCCTCTTGTTCTCTCATTAGAATAAAATGTGCAAGGCAATGATGTTTAGAAAAAACATCGGAGTTTATGTCTAATCGATCTTTTACCGTTTGTCTAAAACTATTATATATTCATAATATTCATTTCTTATATTAATCACGATATGCGTTACTCGAAATCGAACCATAAATATTGTAATAAAATTGTACAAAATATATTATATTACTTTTAAATTGGATAGGACTCATTGCCAGACTTACTCCTAAAATTTTCTTTTTATAAGTTAGAATGCATATGGTATACGCATACTTATAAAATATTATTATAATAAGGTATAAATATACATTTACGTATAATTCCTGATGTTTGCCGTGTACTAGAGAAAGTATTCTAATCAATTTAACCAGCAAAGATGATATGGTGCTTTAATAGCAGACATGAGAACCGTTTGCTAATAAACCGATATTTAAAATAAATTTTATAAATTAGTTGTCATTTTAATTATTGACTACATGGAATAGATTCAAAAATCTTGTATATATAAGAATATATGTACGAAGTATAAGGTAAGTATTTTATAAAATGTAGACATACATTCAAAAATAAATTCAAGGAACAACAAATCCATGGCCATATTCGTATATTACTGCCAGTACTAAAAATCTATAGTTTCCGTTATACTATACTGTACTGATAACTCGCGGTAATATACGAACAAGGCCCATGTAGACATATGTCGTATTTGACTTTGTTTACTAACAGTTACTAACGTTTTCATATATCATTGCGAACTAAACTGGGGTCCGATATGTCCAAAGAAAGTATTTACTGGTAGTTAGTAAGAAGACGCATGAACGTGAGGACGTTACGCTGGCTGAAATTATAACGAGAATTAGTGAAACACGTATGAAGATGTTTGTTATTCGAAAACAAGATTAGATAAAACCAGTAATACACAAAAATTTTTAATTACTTTTACGTTCTGAATTCATTTCTGATACTATGCACAGCGCTATACAACAGTCTGAAAAAAAAATATATTTACACATATACAGATATATAAATATATAAATTAGAAATTCAAATAAAAAAATTCCTCCTTATTTGCTAATCCCAATTTCGTGCAAAATAACATTTTTACTAAAATTTGTCTTTAATAATATGTGCACAATTTACGTTATTTATATATTAATGTAAATGTGTTGTTTCATTTTCATAAATGTGAGTACATTTTTAAACACTACGGATTGGCGCGTAGCTATATTGAAAACATTATACAAACTTTGCACCACGGTGGCATATTTACGCAGAGAATAGCACTGCTGCATAATTATTAACTACCAGTAAAAGAAATTGTAGTATCAACCATGGCGAAAATTTTTCTCAGAATTTTTCATATAATTTTTCAGAATTTCTATATAATTTTATAGCTTTCTCACATTTCTTGTACGAATTGAAACACTTTTCAGAAAATCTACTTCTTGTTTCAGAATTTTTCATATATGTTGCTAATGAAATATCGTCAGATTTCTTGAAGTTTTTGTAAGTATAATTTCTGATCAAATGTTATATATGTAAATAAATCTAAAAAATTAAAAAATATTCTTTAAAAATTATGGGGAGAGGAATGAGAAATTTCAAAATATTTCAGAACTTGTATGAAAAATTCTGAGAAGATGTAAACCTTCCGAATATTTCTGAATATTTCTGAAAAATGTTCCAATTCGTATAAAAATTATGCGAAAAATTTTCATCAGGGAAACAATAACGTTTTGCTGGGATTTCTAGATAGCGTTCCTATATTGTTCCTACAGACAGTATTTTCACAGGTACTTCATATCTTTAGACGAGTGATAATTAGTCGTAAATAACGTAATACGACTGACGAGTGAAAATGGAAATGGCAAGCGTGTAAGTCTTGGACAAAAATTTATAGAATGAGAAAACATTGCTAATTGAAATATGAATGCAATAAACAGTCAATATGAATCTTGTTATTAATACCTAAGAGATTAAAAATCTCTTATTTCAACACAAAAATTTTTAAATGTTCTTTATTTATTTAGATCTTTATTGCATAATATAAAATTAAATGTAAAAGGTTCTCACAAAATTCTATTATATATATATTTGCATTAAAAAGGACATTATAATGTTATCCAATCCAATATTGTTTAGTTCCAGCAACGTCATTGTTCAATTCACAATTAATGGAATACTATACACGGGTATGTATTGTTTGTACGAAATGTGTAATTATATAAGGAAATAACAATTTTCAATTATATTATTAAAAAGCCATAGGATAGAATGTAAAGGAACCCCAATGATTCAAATATATTATAAAAATCTAATCAGAAGCTATGACATACTTATCTACTATATGGTTACAAAATCCATCACATTCAAGAATTTATGATATAAAAAGAATTACATAGAAAGTATAAAATATGATTTTAGAATTCTAACTATATATCACTGACAAGAGCTTTAGAAATAAAATATAATTAAGTATGTTAAACAGGAACTTTATGAATCGACTATATATAATTGTAAAATCACTTTCAGTATCCGATGATAGTTTACTCATTAGAACGTCTCTCCTTTCCTACATCCGCGAATATGTGGGTCTCCGAGGTACAAAAGCGATGTGTCACGAGGGTGGTTGCGGTGCCTGTATCGTAAGTGTAAGATTCCAAGACAAAGTAATAGCCGTGAATTCCTGTCTTGTACCGGTACTAATCTGCCAAGGGTACGTATACATTAAAGAGAAACTAAACAATCATACTTATTATTTCTAAAAAAAATAAAAGGCGAAATGACATTATGCGTGCTCGCGAAACTATCCTCTTCAACACAAGAAATTAGTCATCGAAATATTAAAATCTCTTTTTCTTACATTTATATTTATTTATTTCGTTTTCATATCAATTTTTTAATTTCTCAGTATACCAAGTATATATGTTAATATTAACTATTAATACGTATCATATAATGTCGCAGATGGAATATTTTCACAATTGAAAGTCTAGGTAACCACGAAGAAGGTTATCATTCGATTCAAGCCATGCTTGCTGATAAAAATGGCTCGCAATGTGGATATTGCTCTCCTGGCATGGTGATGAATATGTACAGGTACGAATTATTAAAATTGCTAATTAATTTTTAATGTTAATGAAATATTATTATATTTTAGACACATATTACATTTCCTTCTTTCATGATAAAATCCTCCTTCCTTTCGGAATTGTTCGGTGTTAAAATAAAGTACATACAAAAAAATACCCTTAAACATTCAAATAAATACATGAAATTAATAAATGAATCCCTATAATTATAATTATTCAATATTAAACGAACACATAGAAAATTAAAATCATGCATAAAATCGGAGAATACTGCTATGTACGGTTCAAGTAGGAATATCATTTAAATAGATATTATTGAAAGTTTGTATAGCTAAAACTTTCAGTTAACGCATTGTTGTATATATTTCGTAGTCTCATACTTAAGAGCTCGCATATATCTATGGAACAGATCGAAAATTCATTTGGTGGCAATATTTGTCGATGCACCGGATATCGTGCAATCTTGGATGCGTTCAAGGGATTTGCCATCGATGCACCTCCATCAATGGTGAAAAATATTCATGAAATTGAGGTTTTAAAAAATTTCTTTTCTATTCCAAAAATTTAATCCTTATTTTCGAAATTACGTTTTCAGTTTCAGTTTTTCTCACAAGTACAATTTGATTTTGTTATTTAGAGAAATAAGGATTATTTTTACTCGTTATTATAATAACTTTTTTCATATTGTTTTCATCCTGTTGTAAATATAATGAAATATACTTCGTAGGAGTTACACAAGATTAAACCTTGCCGGAAATATGGAATGCCATGTGTACGTAGTTGCTACGATAAGCAACCTTCCGATGAAAAAAGAATGTTGAGCGTAAAGTTAAAGGACGGACACTTCTACAGAACTTTCTCAATCGAAAACCTATTTCTGATATTAAAAGCGAACCCACTCGGCACGTATACATTAAATGGGGGAAATACTGCGAATGGTAATTTTTCTGTATTAGATGAAATAGACTCTAAGTAATATATATATTTTTATATAAAAAGTCTCCTCGCTCTCATATTAATTGTATAAAAAATTGTGTCTCAGTAAAATGAGTTGGTTTTCTAATACGTTGTAGATTTCAATGATGAAATAGAAGGTGGTGAATAGAAGATGTTATGATCAAAAGGTTCAATAATGGATAACTTTTTATTTATGATGTATCAAAGATGCAAAATTTGTGCTCGCATGGTATTTTTAATACATAATAGCAAACGAACCATTCATTATTGGAGTTAATGCATTGTTATGTATATATAACATACTTTGTGTGGTGTTCTTTATATTATAAGCTACTATAATACATGTGAAAACCAACTTATTGCATTTATTATACATGTAGTAAATTGTGAGACACATTGTCGAACAAAATTTAAAATTTTTTTGCAACACGATTACGAATAGTCATTTCCGACGTATACTTGCGTGCTAAACACTAATGCGTTAATAAAAGTTGACTATCACGTTACAATTTCGAGAAAAATAGCGTCAAAGGGAATTTAATATTTTGTCCATTTAAAGCCATTTTTTCAAAACAGTGATGTGATATAGTCAATTATTGTCAACGGATTCGTGTTCAGCAAGCAAGAATACGTTGGAAATAACTATTCATTCGAGTTGCAAAAAAAGATCAAATTTTGTTGGACAGGTTGTTACATAAGGAGGAATACGACTATATTCAAATTGCTATATCTCGTAAACAAAAGATCATACCGAAATGAACCAAAATGAATTTCAAAGCTAAAAATTGATACTTAGTGTGTTCTTCATATTATAAGCTACTATAATACATGTGATAACCAACTTATTGCACTTATTATACATGTAGTAAATTGTGGGACACGGATAAATACTTTCTCATAAAAATAATATTGTATTATAAAGAAACAAACTCTCTGATAAAATAAAAATATACATGATTTTGTCTTTTAATTAAAAAATCTGTATATAGATTTCATTTTCGTTACTCATACTTTAATAACTACCCAGTAAACGAGAATGAATTGAAATCAATTTAGATTTTCAGAAATATAGATTCACGAATGTGTTAAAATGAATGCTTTTCATCCCTGAATGCATTTTTATTCATTTATGGGAATTGCGATGGAGCATATCTCTATGGCTTTCAATCTAAAGATAATATCAGCTTTCTCTGTGCATTGTGAATACTGTTCAATTCAAAATTTTGAATAGGAAATGCAGTTTTTCAATCGAATTACATCCAATTGAATCCAATTAAATCCAAAAAATCTTCGCTATTTAAAATACGCATTCGGATAGAAAAAATTTCAATGCATTTTAATTCATTCTCGTTTACTGTATAAATGTGATATGTTAAAATACAGTTTTATTAATATTTCTCAGAATCTTTAATATTAATAAAGTTTTTCTGACACCAATCAAGGTTTAACATAATTATAAAAATACAAAAGTTTCAATAATTCCAATTATATTCTTCAATGTCACATTCTACATAATTATTAGTACTCACGTTAAATTAAATATAAAAGTAAGATATATATTTATATACGTATATAATTTTGTGGAAATTTAATTTTGCAGGTGTTTATCGTTCGAGCATAAAAGATATGTATATTGATATAAACAACATTCAAGAATTGCGTAACATTGAAAAAACCGATAGTACTTTGGTCCTAGGAGGAAGTGTAACCCTTACTACCGCGATAGAAACGTTTCAGAAATATTCAAATGATGCCGGATTTAAATATCTAAATCAGTTGGCCCAGCATGCAGAAATGATTGCAAACATTACCGTGCGAAATATTGGCACCATAGCAGGGAATTTAATGATAAAATACCAGCACAATGAGTTCCCATCCGATTTATTTTTAATGTTAGAGACTGTCGGTGCTCAAGTACACGTCTTGGAAAGTCCCTCCCAGAAGCAAAGTTTGTATCTGTGGGAATTTCTGAACCTCGATATGCATCATAAAATCATTTATAGCGTTGTACTACCAAAGCTAACTGACGAGTACATATATAGATCCTACAAGATTATGCCTAGAGCCCAGAATGCTAAAGCTCACGTCAACGCTGGCTTCCTTTTCAAACTCGACAGCGATGGCAAGGTAACGGAATCATTATAAATTGTTTATATCACTTTATCATTAATTTCTCATGGATATTTTAATTTTCTTCAAGTTTTATTTTTTTTTTTTTAAGAAATAAATCAAATAAGTGTCGGCTCTCAAAGGTTTCTCTTTAATTTTTTTGATTTATTTTTTTTTTACATTTACAATATTCTACGAAAAGGTGTTGGAGCTGCCTAACATCATCTTCGGTGGCATCAATAAGAGTTTTAAACACGCAAGAAGTACAGAGGAAGTTTTGCTGGATAAATCTATCATCAAGAATCTATCTTCAACGCTTAAGGAAGCCTTGAATACATTGCATAATGAGCTGCAACCTGATTATGTACTACCGGATTACTCGCCGAAATTTCGCAAGACTCTCGCCGAAGGATTATTTTACAGGTGTATGTTAAGCATCAAACCGGAGAATATACGCGATTTTTATCGTAGTGGAGGCACTTCATTAGAACGAGGTCTCAATTCAGGTACACATAAAATATCCATAACGTTTTGGAGATGTCTGTCTATTATAAAAACTTATATAAACCTTCGCAGTTCATGCACATAATATATTTATAAGGCGACGAGATATATAATTAGTAAGCAATTGAAATGTACTTACAAATGAAGTTAACTGCAAACGTTTCGATTCGGGATTTGAGATCTCTTCAGTATGGAGATCAAGTACTATATGTAAAAGAGAACTTAAATCCAGAGTGAATATGTTTGTAATTAACATTGTTAGTAAGTACATTCTAATTATTTGCGAATTATATTTTATTTCATTATAAATATATTTTAAATATTATAATATTTATTAAATTAACCATCACAAAGGTTCATATTGGCATTTTACTCACAGATATTTGGTTTATTTTTGAAGGAAGAGGGCTTTTCTATTTTTGTTAAGGAACCTTCTTAATGGTGTTGATGGTTTTGATACATTGAGAGAAAGATTTCTTTACATTTAATAAATATCGTCATTGGGACAGTTGAACCAATTCGAATCTTTAAATTAAGAAATGTAATTGATTGCATTAAAGCTAAATTTTGGGGATTAAGTGGAATAGTTTCATTTAAAATTAAATTGTTTCAATAAAATAAATAGGAGTTTCGAGTCTAAATAACTCTTTCACTCTGTATATTATTGGTGGAATAAAGGAATATAGCCATTTTAGAATAATTTATGTATAAAAAGCTCGTAATGTATAATGTAATATATAAAAAAAGATGCAACCTTCTTAGGTAAGCAAGACTACGATACGAAACTTGACGAGTGGCCATTGACTGAGCCTATACAAAAGTTAGAATCTTTGGAACAGACATCAGGCGAATGCCAATTTTGCGATGATCTGGGTCCATTTCCTAGAGAAGTGTTTTGTGCTTTTGTCGTCACAAATGTCGGTAATGGCCAGATCCGTAAAATAGATGCGAGCGAAGCTCTTAAAAAGAAGGATGTAGTGGCGTTTTTCAGCGCCCAAGACATACCAGGGAAGAATCTATGTATTTCGGCTGCCAGCAAGTTGACGTCTTTGTCAGAGGACGAGTTGCTGTTTGCCGAAAAGGATATTTTGTATGCCGGCCAACCGGTTGGTGTCATCGTCGCGAAGACGCATAATTTGGCAAATGAAGCTGCAAAATTGGTAAAAATTACATATAGCGAAAGTGTGAAAAGACCAGTGATAAGTATTGAAGATGCCTTTAAGACGACTGACAAAAATAGAATCAGAGAAAGCGTCAATATTCCAGCAAAGAGGAAAGGTAGAAACTCATAAAGAACGAAATAGATTTAATAACATTTAATTAAATTGTTTTCTTTTTAATTATAATTATTAGAAGAAAATGGTAGTACCGTAGTAATTGTATGTTTCCAGTTTAAAAAAATGAATTAAGCTGGACATTTACAAACTTGTGAAATATAGTATGAATCAATTATTAGAAATGCTACCAATTATTAAAAATGATAATTATTCAATTTAGTGAAGTTATTTCCAATGACTTTGATCTTGACGTATGTTGTCAAGAACAGTCTACTGAAGGATCTTAATAAATTTTAATCGTTATTCGCTAAAAGTGATCGTAAGACGTTGAAGATAAGATAGGGAATAAATTTTTTTTCACTACAGTCACAGTTCCAACTCAAGTTGGATACGAAATTATAATGAGGTTAAGATAACATTAAATTAAGGACATTTTAAGAGAAATGACAATGTCATTCGATACATTTTGGTTATGATTTTGTAACAAATATTAATATAATAGTTTTTATGTTACTTTACAGTTACAGGTTAAATTTAACTCTTCCTTAACTAAAAAATCTTTTTGAGAAGTTTAAAAACTTATTAACTAAGAAACTTTTCAAATAGCTCATGAATTTAACACAAAATCATCAAAAGTATATCAAATGATATCATTACGATCTTTTCTAAAACAGCCAGATTTTATCTTATTCTTATTACGATTTTGTGTTACATCTAGGTAATTAATTTTGACTAATCTCGATAATTATACAACAAGAATTAAGCTTTGGACTACAAATGAGCTTATTAACAAACCAAAAGAGGATTCCGACTACATATTTGAAAACATGAATTTATACTCCATTCGAAACTTTGAACATTCATATGTATACTTCAGGACACGTTTGTGAAAAACATAATAGAGGATTTATTTTATTTAAACTTTCTATACACATTCGAATTATAATAGTTAATAAATTTAAGAATAATTTTTTATTATATTTTACCTTGCATATTTTATATTAGGCGAAAAATCGAGACGAATGACGTCCCTCCTAAGATTCTTCCGAATTTCTGTAGAGAATAAAAAATTGTGATATACCAAAATTCAGGATAATTTCCTATTCGTGACTTAAGATAAATTTACAATGTTCATTTAAAGAGTATGCACAAACATTATTTTGGAAACTCATCAAACATATCATCAAGCGAAGTGCTAAGTCACTCAGGAATTACCCTTGTAATATACGTCAAGCCAAGGCTATATTCAATAGAAATAACTTCGTTAAAATGAATAGTTGCCTTAGAAATAAAAAAAATAATACAATGAAAAAGAAGATCGTTCTTTACTATTTTACAGGAACCTCTCAATATGTAGTAGTAACGGGCTTCTTTCATTGTGGTAGCCAATATCACTATACCCTAGAAACTCAATCCTGCGTATGCGTTCCTGTGGTTGGTGGTATGAACGTCTATCCATCGTCACAATGGATGGATCTCATTCAAGTATCAATCGCGAATTGTCTTAATGTTCAGAATAGCAGGTAACTCATTAATCTATCAAGTGAACCTCATCTATATGTCGAAGTAATTATATCGAAGTAATCCAATTGCTATAATTTGCTATAATACAGGCCACTGTATATATTGTGGCCTTTCTTAATATCTACGCTATTATATAGCGAATCTTAATGATTACTTATGGAATTATTAGTTCAGTAGCTCGCCGTTACACCATGACTCTAATATTACTCAATAGCCAGCACTTATTTTATAACGCATTTTTACTTTCAAGTACTTCGAAATGTTTTTGAGATATACTTTAGCATTTAATTACACCTACTTCCCCTCATTTTTCTTAAATTTCAGCATATTATCACACAAATATATGTATTTTTGAGTGTGAAATTTGCTATTTAACATTTATTTGACTATATATATATATTGAGTTATACAAATGTAAATAATACCATGGCATTTTGTTAATGTGGCCTTTTATGGATATTGATTACTCACGACCTCTTTTTTAAGGTTTTTATATCAGAATAATTATTTGATAACCTATTGTAACTCTACTGTTAACCTATAGTTTATATTACGTGTACTATTTTTAGTACTAAGATTTTTAGTACTGAACAGTTTATATGCAGAAGTTATGTGAATGTATATATACATTCATTTGCATACATTTTAAATTGTTTTTCTTTTTTGTTAATTTTGTAATCAAATACTGGAAGGCCATATTACTGCCTATTTTGATTATTAATAAAGTTATTGTGTAAAATGTAACTGTAATGCCATAACACCATCTTCTCCTCTATAATGGCACGTAAAATTCTGACAATTACAATGGGATAATCCACTATTAAAAGTGTATATATTCACGTTTTTAAATAAAATTAAAAACGAAATTGTTCTCTTTCAGTAGTCGAACATTTTACAATAGTAAAATAGTTACAATTAAAGTTAAACGTAACGTAATTTATACGTAACAATTTACCAACTAATTATGCACAATTATTTTTGAGCAACAATAACTGCGTTCGGAAACGTCGCTCGGATGCCTCAGATGCCTCGGATTCATCATCTGTCCTTGTTTAATATTTAATGTTAATTATCCTTACTTATCAAACGTTTATTTATTTATCATACATTTTATCGTTACTTATCAAACACCCTGTATATGTTATAAATGAATATCTTTTTCTTACAAGAGCATTACGTTATTGTAATTGATATTCAGTAACATCTATATTATCAATATCAATATCAATATCAATCACATGATGAAATCGGGAAAATTTAAATAAAAGGTTACTTCAAATAAAAATTGAAATTACAGTTTTAATATAAAATGAGTATTAGAAATACCTATATTTTTATAAAATAAAATTAATTAAATGAGCATTATTAAGTAAGTCAAAAGTGCATTTTATAAAATAAAATTAACATTAAGTGAGTCAATTTAATTTTTCTAGCATCAATGTGCTTGTGAAACGACTTGGCGGTTCGTACGGGTCGAAAATTTCACGCAACGCGCAAATTTCGTGTGCTTGCGCATTGGTATGTCATAAACTAAATCGTCCAGCGCGATTCGTCATGTCGATGGAGAACAATATGCAATCGATAGGCAAGAGATATTCTTCGCGTCAAGAATATGCTGTCTGGGTAAATTTAGATGGAGTTATACAGTATCTCAAAACAAATCAATGGAGCAACTGCGGTTCTAGTTTCAACGAACCACATTCTGAAATGATAGCTTCTTACATGCAAAGGTATTGTAATATAACATGTAGTATAAACAAATTTGTCTATTAGATTCGTCCATTAAATTTATCCATTAAATTTTCTGTACACAATATTTTAAATCTCAGTATCAAATTTTTAAGCAGAAATACTGTAATATATAAAACTATTTTTATCTCGTTTTGAACAGAATTTTGAAACATATTCAAATATAGGAAAAAATGTTACAATACTAATGTTAATAAAAAAATAATTTCAATTAACTGTGATAAAACAGATTTCAATATATAATTAACTAAATCAAATTTGAAAACACTCTATCGTGATTAATCTTCCGCATTTAATTAAATATCATAAACGATTTTTTATCGTTAAAAGCTGCTATTTAACGGATACTTGGGAGCTCCATGGGTATGACGTGAGAACCGACTTACCGTCAAATACATTTTGTCGGGCATCAGGATCTACGGAAGGAATAGCTATGATCGAAAATATAATGGAACACATTGCAACAGAAATCAACAAGGATCCGTTAGCGGTCAGATTGGCGAATATGAATGACGTGGATAAATCCGTATTAGAACCTATGATAAAAGATTTGTCGAATAGAACCAACTACGAGGAGAGAAAGCATTCTATTGATCAATACAACACACACAATCGCTGGAAGAAAAAGGGAATTGCCGTGTTACCGATGAAATATTTGGTGATGTATGAAGAAGGGCAATACGAAACGTCGGTGTCGGTTTGCGCTCGCGACGGTTCGGTATGCGTAACGCATAGCGGAATTGAGATCGACCAAGGCATAAATACCAAGGTATGAAAATGCAATGATTTATCTAAGCGAGTTCTTTTATGCTTCTCATCTAATTATGAATAAACTAATGGAAAATTGTACTTAACAATTCTATTCCTTTGAAATTGAGTTTCTATTTTTAAAAATTAGTATTAGGAAGCTGTGATATTGAAGATATCTATATTTTAATCACCTTTCATTTTGGATACATACTTTCTATATTTTAAATAGCAAAAAGATTCGATTTAATATGTAAGACGCTTTACATTTCTGCCAATTTAAAAATAATTCTTGTACACTAGATCGCACAAATAGCAGCTCATACACTGGATATTCGTATCGAAATGATTTCCGTTAAACAAAGCAATAATTTATCGGCACCCAACAAATCAACAGGACACAGCATTACTACAGAAACCTGTGGATACGTAAGAATTCAATTTGTCTCCATCGCTGTGGAAGACGATGTCATATACATATACGTAACTTAAAACTTGATGATGATATCGATTATCGGATTCATTTCAGACAACGATCCAAGCTTGCAGAGACATTTTGAATAAACTCGTGCCGATAAGAAAAAAAATAAAAGATCCGAAATGGAGTGATCTCATTTTTAAAGCATATGAAGAAAACGTTGATTTAAGCTCACGTTACACGTAAACGTCATTAAATCTTATTTTTGACACATCAGTGATATATTACATCACACAATGTCATATAAAGCACTTTAATATCTTTCCGAAAATATTGTACTTGCTTTAGAAAGAAACATTTGTCCTATCTTTTGCATTTGATTAAAATAAATTCTATATTGTGAAAAATTTAAATATTCCATTTGCATTTCCTGTAATTACCTAATCAGCACACAATAATTAAAAAATATTTTTTAAATATTTATTAAATATTTTTATGTTAAATAAATATTTAAAAAACGTTTTAAAAACCATCTCTACTGATTGGATAGTATTAAGCGTATTTATTGTATGTTTTCGGAATGATTTCGATAAATCAATAAATTTAAATATACTTTATATTTATATAATGGGATAATATTGCTTGATACTATACAAATAATTAATTATATAATACATAATTCCATTTACCTTGGCAGGTTGGTGACCGGGCCAACGAAAGAAGTGATGAAGCCTTATCCCATTTATGGTGTTACCATTGCCGAAGTGGAAATCGATGTGTTGACCGGTCAACACATTGTCAGAAGGGTTGATTTGATGATCGATGCAGGTCAAAGTTTAAATCCGAAAATTGACATTGGTCAGGTGGAGGGAGCTTTCGTGATGGGAATGGGATACTGGACTTCTGAGGATCTGATGTACGATCCTAAAACAGGAGTATTAACAAATGACAGAACCTGGGTATGTGTTATTTTCATCAAATTTCGGTAAAGCTATTATTGTCAAAATGCGACTGCTTTATTTCAGTGAGACTATCTTAGAAATACATAATTAAATTATTTGAAGTATTTGACTATTTTTATAGAATTATAAGCCACCAGGAGCGAAGGATATTCCTGAAGATTTCCGCGTGTACTTATGCAAAAATTCGTTCAACGCAAACGGTATCCATGGTTCAAAAAGTAAGATCAAAACTCTTCTATTCAAATTATTATTTACTATAAATATACATATTTGCATAGAATTGATAAATTCGTAGTAATTCTTTTAGAAAAATTTTCAAATCTACATCGATTTATAAGCGCGCGTCTCAATAATTCATTTAATTTAAATAAGATAAATACAATATAAGAAAAAATTTAAAAATAAAAAAGGTCTCTTTAACGTTTCGGAATTAGAAATATTGAATGGTCGATTTCCGACTAATTCTGAAAATATTTTTGCAGCAATCGATGAAGCACCGCTTTGTATGAGTTATGTAATTCCGATGGCGATCCGCAGAGCATTGAGTTCCGTTAGAAAAGATTTAGTGACAGAGGAGGATTGGTACAAGTTAGGTAAGTTTTAACCAGAGATACATTCATATTGTTGATAATTCAACATACAACACGAATCGACTAACTTGATGATCTGTATTAATTTCTACATTCTTGCAGCAAATACTAATCTTTTAATGGCCATTGTTCTTTATGTTTATATTTAAAGAACATTTTTTAAATACTTTTCTAACTTTTTTCTCTCCTCTTTTCTTTTTAAAAAGAATTAAATCAGGCAATAATTTAAAGAAAGTACCTTCGAAATTTATAGTTTCATATCTTTTTTATCAGTTTTTTTAATTCTATTATATGAACTCCTGGTTCATTTTACCTATCACGATTTACGATGTACATTATTCAAAATAGGACACACCACAAACTTTTAAACTTTTTATAATAAAATAACTAAAAATATATTAGTCTATATAATTAAATATTAAGTATTTAAATATGTAATTCATAGTTTTCTCTATAATACTTCCTTATAAATTATATACATGTATAATTTCTTATAGAACATTATCATATAATCATATATCAATCATATATCAATAAGATAATATTTTGATATATATTCACATATCATTCGTAATATTTGCAGATGGACCGTGTACCACCGAACGTATACTTCTAACTAGTTTAACCAGCATAGATGGAATGATAATTTAAGAGTAAAAATGGAAAACGTTTTCACAAATAATCCGGTGTTTAAAATAAGTTTTATATTTAGTTGTTATTTCATTGTTATCTAAATAAAATAATTCAAAAATTTGTAAAATGAAGAATATAATTTATGTATTATGTGTTTAAAATAAATTTTGTATTTTGCTAGCCTTTTAATTGCTGTATTAGTAGAATAATTAACAAATTTTTTTAATTGAATTTAATTTAAATATTCACATTTTTTTTTTATATGAGAACCTTTTATGGTAATAATGGGATTATAATAATTCGACTAGTTAATTGATCTTTAAAATTGCTAAAGCACTTCTTTTCATTTGTACTAATTTTTAATAAATTTTCTCCATTAAACTCCTAGCTTTAACCTTAAAATCATATGTATATTGTGCGTGTAAGTGAACGAAGTTATTGAGAGAGTGTTAAGTTACGTCTTTAGTTATCATCAAGACTTCAATCTGCCATGCTAAAAGCTAGGAGAAATATGGACAAAGTTTTAAAAATTCGGTCTGTTATATGTATATCAGTTTGAAACTCTTATGGTGAATTCGTGATCACTCGCATTACACTGGATCAGTGCATATTAAAAGCTGCTTTACATAAAATACCTCAATGTAGTGATACAATATAATCAACTTTGACAATGAAATGATATATATATATTTTGATATATATATATTTTGAAATGATATATATATAAATGTATATTTTGTTAAATAACGTGACAATAATTAGTAGATAGTTAATCGTTTAAAATATTTATATACTTTTACATTTAACTTTGTTAATTTCATGTAAAGCAGCTTTTAGTATGCACTGATATCTAGTGTAGTGCAAGTTTATAGGTCATGGACTAAGGGCCGGTCTCACTAACTTCGATTAACTTAATCGGCCGATTAAATATTGCCAACTGCAAAACATGAAAACATCATTTTCTGGCAGGACGCCGAGTACTCACATGCTCGACTCGCATGGCTTTTTCGCAATTGAGAAATTTGCCATTAATAAGGACCTGTGCTGTTATTGTCACATCGTTCTTTACAGCTGCCAGAAAATTAGGTTATGTTTTCAGTCTTGCAGTTGACAATACTGAAATTTAATCGACCGATTGGCTTAATCGGCCGATTAATCCATTGGAATTGACCAATCGCATTTGCCATTTTGTTTGACGACAGATGGCGATTGGCCAATTCCAATAGACTAATCGGTCGATTAAGTTAATCGGAGGTTAGCAAAAGTAGCCCTAAGCGCACGATGTACTATAGCCAATATATTTTATTGATATGTTATGAGGTTACATACTCCATACCACAAGATTCAACTTATAATAGTGTGTTTATTCTTTCTTTTCTGTTATGTTAATAATTATATGTGTGTTTATAAAAATTATAAAGATTTTGTCATTAAAAGTGTGAAATGTATGAAAATATTATGTTTCGACAAAAAATGTTTGAATTATTTCATTTCCATTTCGTATAATTATACTATATTTACTATTATGTACGTTCGATATGATTTCGATAAATATCTAAGCAGAACAACAAATTACGATAATATTAAAATGACATTAAAATGAATTGGAAATGATTGAAAAATGACTTTTAATGATGATTTTGGACATCATTTTGACATCATTTCAATATCATAATCTTGTTCTGCTCGGGTAAATAGATTTACATTTTGTATTTTTAAAATAGAAAGAGACAATTTCTTATTATTACACAAACCATTAATTATTATGCATTACTCTTTACCTTGATAAATTGGCGACCGGGCCAAGACAAAGCCATGTAATTACAATGCCATTGCCGAAGTAGAGATTGATGTATTAACCGCATACATATGTTTGAAAGGGTTAATTTGATAGAAGATGTCAGTGTAAGCAAGAATCGTTGGTCAGATGGAGAAAGTTTTCATGATGGAAATAGGATATTATCTTCTTGGGATCTGGTATACGATTCTAAAACAAGAGTGTTAATGAGTGACAAAACGTGGTTTCGTTATTTTCATCGAATTTCAATAAAGCTAATACCGCCAAGATGCAACTATACCTTGATTCATTTAGTTTGTTCTAGAAATATATAGGGTGTTCCGAAATTTTTTGCCAAGCACTCTTGTGTAGTTAGAGCGGACTAAACTGAGTCGAAAAGTACTCTACCATTTTGCAATTTTCGCAATAGTTAACAAGATATTAATTATTAAAAATTGCCGAATATTGGTCTTTAATAATTTTTTTCTCAAATACTATCAACTTTACAGAAAAACTGCGAGATAAAAATTGTTTATTTTCTTCTCATAGAGTTCTGAGAATTTTTCAGAATTTTTTAATACCGCATTTTCTCATGTGGGTAAAAATAGTTGCCAATAAGAAAATGCAGTATTAAAAAATGGACAATAAATTCTGAAAAAATTCTTAGAGTTCTATGAAAAGAAAATAAACAATTTTGGTCTCTTACTGTTTTTCTGTAAAGTTGATAGCACTTGAATAAAAAATTATTGAAAACCAATATATATTCAGCAATTTTTAGTAATTAATATTTTGTTAACTATTGCAAAATGGTAGAGGATTTTTTGATTCAGTTTAGTTCCGCTCTATCTACATAAGAACGCTTGGCAAAAAATTTCGGGGACACTCTATATAATTAAATTTTCTAAACTATTCTATTATATATTTCTTCGTATAACCATGTATAAACGTCATCCAGAAACGAAGTATATTCCTGAAAATTTTCGCGTGTTTTTACGCAAAACTCGAACGACACAGTTAGTATCTTTGGTTCAAATGTAAGATTATCTTATTGTTCTTCAAATTATTATCTACTATTACGCGCGCGAAAAGTAAAACTCATCGAATTTTTTGTTTAAAACTCATCAAAACTTGAATATTTTCTACACGTTTCCGTAAAATTAAAGAATTCGTAAAAATTCTTGTGTCATTGTAAAAAATTTTCAAATCCATAAAAATTTTTAGTCGTTTTTCAAGATTTGTTTGAAATAGAGAATACGGACGAGTGTTATAGATTGGGTAAATTCTGAATAAAAATATGAATGTGAAATATATTTAGGTCCATATTCAGAACGTGCTTTTATCGATAAAAGCGCGCTTCTATTTCTGAAATTCTATAATATGCGTAACGTAAAGAATAGTATGTTTTAGCGCGCTAACACACATCGTTGTAAGCACGTTCTGAATATAGGCTTTAATGTACAACACAAATGTACAATCACCTAATCGTGTGACCTGAATTAACTTCTACAAATCTCGCAATTCAGTCTGAATTGTTTAATCTCATTATACTTCGAGCAAAGCACTAAAAAAAGAATTGTTTTGGTTACATTTTCTCTATTTTTATTTTTTTTTTGTTTTCTTTTTGAACCAAACATGAGAGACAATAATTTAAAGATGAATAACTACCGGATTTTGCAGTCAAATTCCTTTTTATTATTTCGTTGAAACCATTATAGAAACCCTAAATATACATACATCAGTTAGTATTAGTTATGCAATGCATTACTCGAAATCGGACGATAAACACTTGACAAATTTTCAGGAATATACTTCGTTTCTATTTTTGTTTGTAGCAAAAAAGTTACAAATGTGTTGTTCCAGGACATAAAATTAGGTGATATTCTTTTAAAATTCCTTTGTTGTAAATTTGTATATGTGAATGCAAATTTTTCTATAAAATTTTTTACAGATGGATATATATACTATCGAACTACTTTTAAGCAATTTAATCAGGAAGGATGATGCACACAAGGATGATATTATAGGTACTTTGAGAAGAAAAATCATGTAGTTATTCGTAGTTATCTACTTTTTGATCGCGTACTAATTGTAATGAATTTAGGGGTCCTGTATAACAAAATAATTTATCTATGTGATTTGCTGATACAAAAAGTTTTCAGGATAATAATGGGATCATGATAATTCGATTAACAGGTTCTTAACATAACTAAGGTACATACTTCTGTTTTATGGTAAATAATTTCAATAAATATTCTCTATTAAACGCCATTGATGTGCTACATAGTAAATATTACAACAACATATCTGCAGTGTAATTGGCATTAATGATAATATATAAAGTATGTCGTAAATAATAATCGTAAATAATAATTCAATATAAGTATATTACTTCTCTCTCGAGAGAATCTACAGCAACGATTATTATCATTATATACGCAGACATCAAACGTTAAACATCGTTCGACATCGTTTGCATTATTTGCACTTGAGGGTGGACGAGGAAGGGTGTAAAAAAACAACGGAACGAAACGAGATTATGGCATGCAAGAGGTTTGATTCGCAAAATTAATTAACATACAACGTGCACTGAACCGTGCCTGCCGCGAAATGGAGGAAAAACGCTGGAATGTGTATTCTTTCCGCGGCGCCATTCTCAAGACGTCCCGTTCACTCGACATAACGTTACTTATGCTATTCATGTTGCGTTTCACGCGAGTAGAAAACATGCCAAACTTAACTCGGTGCGCGGCTTCAATAATTAAAAACTCTTGGAGCGCGCATATAACGAATACACCGAACTTCAAGCATAAATAGCAAATATTGTAAACCGCAGTAATCTGGGAAAGATCGAGTTACAATGCTGCAACATGGAAATACGTGTCTCATTGTGTGTTTCCTTAAACACAAATGAAGACAGAGATCATTGTTAGACGATTATGGCAGCATTGACATCAGAATTTTCTAAGATTATAGATCGGTTATTCTGCCCAATAAATATGCTTCGCGTAGCAAAAGCCTGCACTTCTCGATCTTTATCGTCGCCGTCCGCAGTTTCCCTAAATAACGCCACGTAGGGATGAGTAAGCGGAATAAAAGACTCTTCAAGCTGTGAACCCCTCCAACGTTCGGAAGCAAAACCATCTTTCTTCTCATATACTTCTCTATCCAATAACGTTGCGTACTACCTTAAACGCCGGGTACACTATAGAAAGTAGAGCGGTCCCTTTCGTTATTGTTTGAACGTAGGATAATGATATTATTTTGCGCTTGCCTTTGATCATCGCCAAGCACGTGTTTGCGTGGTCAAATGTGAAAGCAAGCGACCACATGACGACTATAGTCATCCAACTTGGACGAGACAAATGCATTTCCGCAGCAATGCCAAAGAAACAATTTTTTTCCTCCCAATTAGTCTACTTGTAGGACAATTATGTCACAAAAACAATATTATGCGTATTGGACACAATACTACAACGAATAACAAAATCGCAATGGTTGCATCTTTGTGCTCGACAAAGTGCTCTTACAAAATCATGTAACGTCATTTCAGACTTTACAACAAATATGTAAATTTAGAATAATCCTCTATACTCAACAAGTAAATATATTTATAAAATTTTTAATTTCCAAATTAAAATTTCAAATTAAATTTTCTGCTACAATACACTGAAGATTAAAAGCCAAGATCGTTATTTATTCCTTTTATTCCCTTAAGGAACAAAAGATGTCGATCAATTTTGATCAAACTATGATTTTCCTTGATTTACTTTTTAATCTATGTTTGAAAAGACGTCTCATGATTCTGAAATATACAAAATGTATATACAATTTATTCAAAGAGATAAGTAGTATGATAAATTTTTAATTGTACTATTAATCGTTAATTTATTTAATCCATATCAATTAACTATCCAGCTATTCATTAAATTTATTTCAGTCTCGTCCAAATTACGACTTTAATCGCCATTCGATTATGCTTCGCATGCTGCACACGCATAATTTTGATGTGTGCATGTAGCACACATTCCATATATATATATATATATAATTTTCTCTGCACTATCTACGGATCACTACATATATTCTTTCATTTCTCTTTTGCCCTATTACAGCGAAGACTATGCTGATTTGTGTTCATATCTTATAAAGCTATACGCCGCCAAAAGATACTCTGACACCACGATCGCGGTTTATACGGTTTCCTTTTGTTTCTTTCATTCCTTCATCTACCTCGATATTTGTACAACGAGAAGGCATTGTCGGCTCGTCATTGCGCGCTCACACTGTGATCTCAGATTGTTCCTGCCCTGTTATCAAAATCATATTAACGGCGGTAGATCATACCGCCACTAATAATCGGCGCCACGAGTAACGATCGATAATAATAGTACATCGCGCTGTATATATGCACACGTATTATATTGCGTAATATCATTACAAAGTACACGACTTTCCGCTTCGACGATAAACGTTCCCATTCGCATTCGTTTAAACGTTTTAATCTCACCAGCCACTCAATTTACAGCGTAAACAGATCCAAGCAACAATTTTCTACTTACAATTACTCAAAATTACAATCAAATTTTCTAAAAACATGATAAACTTTTTTAAAAAAGTACAATAAAAAAGTATAATGAAAAGGAAAGAGAGAAAGAGAAAAAGAAAGGAGAAAAAAAAAGACATAACAAATTTGGTAACTTTTATATTACATTACAAGAAATTGTGCGCGAATTGTGTATATTTATAAAATAAATATAAATGTATACTTTACAAATAATTTCCGAAACACTTGACTGATTTTGCAAATTATCGCATACGCGTATGTACGCGTGTCTCGAAATTATTCGCGCGTTGTAAATTGGAATCATCATCTCGCCTCATAATTGATGACCTCTTTCTCTCTCCTCCTTTGCTCTTTATATATATATGCACATGCAAGAGCACAAATGGAATTATGTTAAAACTAAATAACAGTAAAGCCCTTTCTAGGAGACTCTGCACTTTCTCTCTTGGTGTCTTTCTCTAAGGAGAAAACGAGAAGCGCGACAAGCCGTTCTTGAAGCAACAACAAGGCATCTCTATTAGATTACAATGAAAAAAAAACTACGATGTGGTGTCGATTTTTTTTCACTTTCTCTACCTCTTTCTCTCGTTATCTCAGCTCGATCATCTTACTTTCGATAAATAATCCCTTCCATAAATACTAATAATATACAGTGTACAATGTACAGTGTGTATCCTTATGCGACCGGGAGGCTTATCTAAACTATATTTGCCGGGGTAAGAAGTTGCGACAAGAATATCTTCCTAGTTTACAGCGAAAGAGATAGAATACGATTGGATTATCTCATCTCACACACCTTCCTATAATATGATAATATAATAATATTTACGTAATATTGTCCTGTTGCGCTCGGTCGCCGGTAGCTTTAGGCGCGATGTCGATCAAAAATAAAGAAAATAATCTAGTGTACAACGAGGTGAAGCATAAAAGAGATATTTAAATACAATGGAATATTTTAATTTCATGCACGAATGACCGTACGAGATAAACGACGAATATCATACGTCTCTCAGAGATAAAAACGACAAATTGATTTATTCATAAAGCATGCATTGAAGTTAGAATGCGTGTACTTTCTTAACGTGTTCCAATTCTATTAAGGTTTTTCTGTAAACATATGTGTGTAACGTAAACATCTATGATAAATCTGCATGAATTCTTTCTGCTTGATAAATAATATTAGTAACAATATATTAATAATATTATCAATAATTATTTTCTAATATTATTTCATTTTGAAATTAATAATAATAATAATCCAGTCGACTCGCGTCACCGTACTAGAGCTATCAGCGACCCTTAAAGAACTTTGCGCGATCTCTGCGGTCGAGGCTTGACTCGTAGCTACCGATTTTACAGACTAACTAACTGTCCCCGCGGCGGCCGGTTACGCTCAGAGAAGATCCTATACGTTTCATATTATATTATACAAAAATACGTTCCGACTACGCGAAGTGTGAAATTAATCGAGAGAGCGAACGAACGAAAAATGGAAATGTACATCGATGAAGGAAGGGAAGCGTATTCGTTGATACCAAGTCCAGGGATATATCTAGCCGCTTCCTCCACCTCGCATCTGCATCTGCATCTGCATCCGCCCGAGTGAGGCTCTATTAACTTTTTTCTCACTTCACACAAACCGACTTTACAGAAATATATTCGTTCCCTTTGACCGCACTCGAAAAACTTTCTCTCAACTATCCTATCAATTTGTATACATCTATTTATACTGGTCGATATACATACGTGCGAGCGGAATTGAAGATATCGACACGAGGAGAATGAAAATGATTAATATACTTCTAAAAAAATACTAAGAGCAGTAGAAAATATTCGCATAAACCATGATCAATATAAAAACTCAGTATCTACAATATTAGCTACAGTCTCTCGAGGGACCGGTTCTGCCAATGCCAACTAACATAAATTGCAGTCAACTAGACCTTACGTCGCTATTTGTTATTATGTTAGCAAGATATCACGATCTAGAAAAAAAATTGAAAATCACGAATCGAGCCAATCGGCATTGGAAAAATCGGTCTTATCAATCCTCTCTCGCGCGAGACGTAGCGTAAAGAGAATAAATAGGAGAAACCGAACGGGAAGGAAAATGTAAACAATATCAGAGGCGAGAGCATATACATGCGATAATCCGCGACCGATAATCACTATCCGGGATGTGTGCGAAGCCAAAACAAAAATATCGCTCTAACGAGAAAACCGAAGATCACCTACCATATACTACTTAATTTGGTCAATCGATCGCGAGAATTGTGTCTCGTTGCAATCTTTTACAATGGACTTTCTGTCGACTAGCACTGCACACACTGCATACATATCGTCGCTATATGGACTCTAAATTTTCTCTTGCCCCTCTCCCTTTCCTTTTTCGGCCGTACTTCAGATCCAAATTCGAGCAACCGCGGATAAATAATCGATCGGTTATACAATATACACGCTATATATCGATAGAGTTTCACGTATTCAGTTATGACATTTATAATTTGACGGAAATCGAGGATATACCGACAAAATCCCAAAACGGAACGCTCGCAATTGGGTATTGACTGCATCGATAGTACCGTGCTATCTACTCATGTAGATTCACGTTGTATTCGTAATTGCGTTGCGTCAGCGTTCTGGCCTTAACTCATTTAACGTACTTCGTTATCTATCTAATAAGATATCCACGAACAGTATACAGATAAAGAACATTTAATGAGTCCATCTATTCGTTTCATTGTTCTTCCTATAAATATATATGTATGTGTATATATATATTTTATATATATATATTTATATTGTGTGTATGATATTTTATCGTATATCTTTATCGTATTTAATATTTAATACTTCGATGAAAGAATTTCCTCGAAACTGTCTTTCTCTCTCTTCCTCGCATCATCCCGAAATTACATATCCGTACATTCACAGAACAATATATATATATATATTATATTACAATAAAAGAGGATATGCCCGATGCGATTTTTATTTCGATTTTTTTTCGGTCTTACGCCTTCTTTAACGTTTAACGCGGACATTGGTATGTGCAATCGTCAGCTACGTGTATATAATCTAACGCGAATACGTTTAGAACCATAACGAACCAAGTATTTTCACCGTATTCGATAATGCGCTCTTACCGATCTCTCTATTGGATATACAATCTCTCCTCCAATGTAAAAACTAAGTCGTACCTAAATATCGCTACGTAATTACGGAAATCTTTCATCGAACTTAGAAAATGCATCACTTCGACAATAGGCTTACTCGACGTGTCAACGAAGAAAAACTGTTCAGCGCGGCACACGGCGCAGTACTATCACAGTTAATCCTCACCAGGAAAATTCAACGCACGTTCGTGTCATTCTAAACGCAATTCGCGTTCCGAACAACTCTCATCTAAGCTACATAATTATGCCCGGCTACGGGACTTCAAGGCGGAGAAAAGCGCCCTGTCTACGCGCAATTCAGACTCAATTTGTCTTCTTTTTTTTGCATAAAAAAGTAGACAGATATTCACTTAAATAACATTTAACTTTTGCTAATGCTCGGGAACGACGCTATATCGGAATAACACGTGTTGCATACTCGGCGAGCATATTACAGGAAGTATGATACAATTTACCGACTCCTATTTATAGTGAGACGATTCGAGTGACAATCAATGATTCAAGATTGATTGGGCCTAACAGAAAAAAGCGAGACACATTAGCTTTGTTTCTTTCTTTCTAGGCATATTACACGGTATTTACAAAATGTTGCTTCGTTCTTCTTAATTCCATTTGGAATCCTGAAACAGTCATTTATAATCTGCTTTAGTACAAAGATGGAATGTCATGTTAAATAAAAAATTATTTAACTTAATAACAACTTAATCTACTTTTTTAGTCATTAATAATCGATATTTACAGGGAAAGGATTAATCTTGGAATGTTTTCCTTTCGTTACGTCGATCAGATCGATGATAATGCTGCGTAATGATAGAGAAAAGGTGAACGTGTGCATTATTAGTAACACGAAGCAATCAAGTTTCGTTCATTGTAAAGTCCATTTTAGACAATCCATAATTTAAGATAGAATAGATATAAGATTTATATTTATATAATTTAATAAAAAAAAAATTTACTCAAAATAAAAATTATATCACGTTCTACTTTATACAAAAATGCATACTGTGATAATAAATTTAATAATTTACAGCTTTGGAAAACGTACTCACTGTATGTATATATATCATAACAATATTATAATAAATTCAACACAAATTAAAGAATTTTTTAAATTTCGTTTCGAATTATAGATTATCTTTAAGGTTAACAATTCGGAAATCTCGAAGAGTTGAATATTACAAGACACCTATTATTAATCACAAATATATAAGTCACAAAGATTATTGTACATTAATTCCCATTAGAGCGACCCATTCAAACCGTTTAAAAAGAAATATAAGATCACTTGTACAAAACTGCAATGAGTTCAAATTTAAGAAGTAAGATATACGATTACATAAAATTACAGCAACAGATCCAATTTTCGCCTAAACAAAATTTAATAAAATTATACAGGTACTAAGTCATTCTCGAGATTCTTCGATAAAATACGAGGAAGGAAATTCAGTTTTGATACAAGAACATTATCCGTCAAAGTTGCAGATTGTCGTGTTATCCTTAGTTGGCACGCGTTCCTTATCACAAATCATTCTATTATTACGCCATGACATCTTCAGCAACGACACGACACGCAGAATGATAAGTGAAGGTAGGTACCTAATCCCTTCACAGAGCACCAAAAGGATCAAGTTGGACAGCATTGCCTTGTGGCTGAGCTGCTGCAGCAGGTTGAGGTTGTTGTTGCTGCAAATTAGGACCGGCCATCATAGGATTCGCGCCGGGCATGGCCATCATGGGCGCAGCTCCTCCCGCAACCATCATACCGCCACCGGCGGCGGAAGCACCTGGGATAGTACACATCATCGGCCTCATACCCTGCATACCCTGCATGCCCATCGGCATACCTTGCATACCCTACAGACACCAGAGAGCGAGAGAAATGAGACGTATGTACAAAAGGAAGCGTGTGTGCCTGCGAAACTTAACGTCTTCCTTAATGTCAAAATAACGATCAGACCGATCAATTATTATTTTTACATTATGTAAACAATTGAAATTTAAGCAGTGGCTGGAAAAAAAAACACTTAGAAGGGAACCATCAAAATTGTTCTTCATTAATTTTGATCAGCTTTGTGTTGTAGAGCATCAAAAAATACTAAACCCATATTTTTTTTATTTGCTTATCTCGAGATTTGAAATAATCTCTCGCAAATTGATCGATTAATGGATTTTTTCATTTATAGCGAATATCTTTAAAACTGAGAGATGTAAAAAATGTTTCATCCAAAGTTTTATGATATTTTATATTCTTAATATAACTGCATATTCACATTTTTCGAAAATATCAAATTTTTTATTATAATTTACTCCTACTTGCAGAGATTGTTTCGACCCTTCATATAAGCAGACAAAAAAATATAGATTTAATACTTTTGATGCTCCACAACATATTCAAAGTCTATCGATGAGAAACGGTTCCGATGGTTTCCTTGTTAGAGTTCTTTTTGTTTTATCTTATAGATTACTCTGAAAACAACAGCAACCACATTAGTTTTAAAAGAAATGTCACCACAAGTACATATTCTATAAGATAAAATAAATATTATAAATATTTTTTTTTCAAACAAGACCAGTCTCTTCTTCAATTCTCTTTTTATATTTGTGACGTTTTTCTCGCAGGAAATATAATGTAGCTTAATCTAATTCTAATATATGTTACCTGTATATCGATGTAATAAATATTTATACACGACCGCGCTTTGTGTAATCCTAAAACTTATCTATGTTATCTACATTACAGATTAACACCGCAAGCAAATTACAGCCAAGTATAAGGAGAAATAAATCTGAAAATCAATCTATAGGAATATAAATAACTGCGATAAAGTACTGTCTACTACATTCTTGAAACGTGCGCTAAAAGTACATATCGATGCATAAGCACTTAATGCGAGGAAACGGAATGAGATGTCGAGTCGGATTGTCATCTTCCGACAATCTTGCTTTGCCACGTGAAATAAAGGTCGTTATACGATTTGTACAATGATTATCATTATTGACAGAGTGAGTTAGTGACAATTCGTGTTATCATACGCTATTCTTGTATACAGAAACTCGTGATCCGGTGAGATGAGATGAATTCGGTGCTTTATTGTGTTAAACATCTCGTTCGCTGCATATGAAACAAAGACGTTCGTGATCGTGGGACTTACCATCATTGCAGGCTGTGAGGGGAAACCTATAGTCGTGGTGGTCGTTGATAGCAGTTGCGTCATTCCTTGGCCCTGCAACATAGTCAATAACATGCCATATGCTGTGCATGCAAAACGCACTCACCTAAACGGTGCTAATTGACGAGAAAATTGTCATTACGGTATTACGAAGAGAGCAGAAGAGTCCCACGGCGGACGAGATGGCTTAAAGATAAACTTACATCTTAACAAGTCTAGCTGAAGGTACGAGAATGCTATGCACTTAGCAGAATGCTAACAAGCTAAAATAATTTACTAGTCCGCGTAGGATTCCTACGACGTAAAATTAAAACGATACCGTAAAGAACAAACAAAGTGACAATCTACGATTCTGAATGAGAATAATCGAGTTTTGTGGGGGCGGTTGTTCTTTGAAAATAATGCATAAAAAATAGTGGGTGTGTACGTGTGTGTGTCTTGGTGTATTAACAATCAGAAGAAACATGCTGAAGATACTTTACGACAACAAAACTAAAATAGAAAGACTTACCATGGGCCGATATCCAGCACCAGTAGTAGCTGCCATTGGCTGCGGTGACCATCCGCCGGCTGGACCGCCCGTTTTCGCGGCATTCTTCGGGGAGTTCCATTGCATTCCTCTGCAAGGGAAAAATATTTATCAATTCGTTGCTTCACATGTTACATAAACTCAGCTTCGGAACATTTTATGAATTATTTATCATGCTATCTATTATTATCATCTTCATAAATATATTCAAATTTACATAACCCTGGAAATGGAATCACTCATAAATAAAAATGTAATCACACTTACTTGACTTGCTGTTGTGCGCTCTTATTGATGGTCAAGTTTTGCGCAAGGCTAGCTAAGCTGCTGTCCAAATCTCCGGTAAGGACTTTGCCGGTATTGGCTGCACCGACCGGTTGCCCCGCTGAAATGAAATTAAATTCAAGATACTTGTAGACATACTAGCACCACATTGTCAAAATTCCTAAGCAACATCTATAACGTCAAGCAAAGATATAAAATTTAAGTTTAAAATAAATCACGATGTTTATATAAATTTATAAACTTATAAATTTATAAATTTATAGAATTAAACATAATCACTAAATGTATTTCCTGATTTAAAAAAAAATAAAGGGATTTAATCTCAAAGGATCCAAAACCGTTATTAAAATTTCTATAACAACGTGCTATAAATTCTCTAAACAAAATAATGCAGAATTATGTATATTGTACAATTAAAGTCACGAACATGCAAATTGTAAATAAATTGAATTGCGAATTATGCGTGAAAAAGAAGTAACGATCAGAGGTTATCGTTTTTATGAGTATACTTAAGCAAAGAGTGATGTAATCATCTATTTTTTTTCAATAATTTTTGCGATATCTAGAATGTTATAAATAACACAGGCATGCTTATCTACTCGTGAAAACGTTAAAATTAATCAGAATTATCTAATGCTCTCACGTGCCTAAGTATAAATACTTAATACATCTTGCTGATCGAGCAATATATATAAATTGAAAAAGCACAATATTCCTTGACAATATAAAAGTCCAAAAAACATCTCGCAGATATCTGAAGATTGTCTTTTAAAAATCTGTATGTTTTCTAGATATCTGGTGGACCTTCACGTTGTTTAGGATGCTATATCGCGACGCAATCAGACCAAAAGGAGGAAAAAAAATGAAAAATAAAGAAAGAGTTTAAGTCGGCAGGGTACAGCGAGTGCGATTATCATGCTATTGGCGTGGATTAGTTTAGGCATTCCCGTCACCTGACATCGGCTGCTTTGCCGGCGAACCGTACCCCACGGGGACTTGGGCTTGGGTAGGGATACCATAGCCGACGATCGGCGCACCGGCCATCATGGGTTGCCCGGTCGCGGGGTCATTCATGCCGAACATACCGGTGCCCGCCGCCGCAGCCGGCGG